TATGCTAATTATTGTTAATTTAAATAGTGCTAGTTGGATTAGTACGTGCGATGTGCATATTCACATATTGGCGATCATGTTCAAACGTGCTGATCGCACCTGTCGCTACGTTTGCTATGATTGTATTGGCCATCGTGATTAAGTTAAAGTTAATCGACCCAGCTGCTAAAGTTCTAAAGTCGCGCAAAACCTACACTGGTGCTTTTTATTAATTTGGCATTTTTTTACTTTTTATTGTTTTTAAATTACGGACTTTATTCATAATATATACTTATATTCAAGCTAGATTAATTTGCGTAATCCAAGAATATCATTATGCATTTTATGTAATCTCAAACTATGTTAACTCGCACCCTCGATGCTTTATTTTACCTAATATTATTTTTACTATTTTACACATGTGCACTAATTATTTACCAACTTTAATGAGTTTAATTGTATATCAAAATTGTATTTGCAATAAAAACTATTCAATTTTTTTATTTAATCCAAAATGGTAAATTATTTGCTGTCAATACTATACTGACGTAACTTTTAAAATATTATATTTCAAAATTATTTGTGTAACTATTAATGCAAAAAAGGCTTAACAAAATTAGTTTTTGTCCTTTTTATATTAAATAAAAACAATATAAAATAATATAATAAATATTACATTAAAAAGTTTTTCTAATATCTATATGAAAAAGTAATAGCCATAGAAATAACTAGTTTTGAATTCTCAGTATTGTTTGACCTTGAACATGTATAAACAATACAGTATACTGTAGTAAGAAATTTAATGTATATATTATATAATATAGTAGTCTTATAAAGTGTTTTCCAGGAATTTATATTTATTGCACAACAAAGGCTTTGACAGTAATATTAATTCATTAAGCTCATAAGTAAAATGACCACGGTTGTCATGTTGAGTGATGACAAACCTCAGGTTTTGGCCACAAAACCAACTGGACACATTAAGGACTGTGTGCTCGATAAGTTGGCGATATATGGTAATTAAAATTATACAATTAGAGCCATATTTACTATTATTTTTACATTTTATGCTTAATGTTAATAGTCATGTTTATATTTAGTGCCCAAAACAATAATAATATTAGTGACATATGGCGTACAGTTGCTGTTCGTAATACTAGGTAAAAATATACTGAATTTATATAACTACTGTACTATTTTAATTAATATATTGCGTTAAAATTAAATGAATGACCAGGGTTACTGAATCTCATTACGGATATAACCGCGTGCCGTTGGAATCCAGAACTTCCATACCTAACGCTAATCATGGGCGTTGTCTATTTTGTGTGTTGGGTCATTTACCAACTCACTAACCAAGGCAAATTACCTCAGATTTTTAAATCTGTTTGCTTTACCACATTCACCTCCATATTCACAGTCTGTAAGTAATACAAGTGTAGTATAAGTGCTTATATTTTTTAAAAATAATTAACCATGTTAATTTTACTGATTTAAATTTAGTGATTGTGTCATTATTACGGGCCATATATTTTGAGCCGTATCGTGCCGTACATGGTAGATCCGTACGAAACTGTACGCCCGTATTATTAGTGCCGGTGACGCTATTTGTCATAGTTGTAATGATGATCGTGGTCAAATTGAAGGTGGTTGATCCGGTTAAAAAAGTACTGTGGCCACAAAAGACCTACATGGACATATTTATGAATTTTTCTAACCTTTAATACAACCTTGTATACTAACTTGATTTAACAATTTTGAGCCACATATTATATAATAATAATTATTATTATTTTTAATTTAAAGTTTATTTTGTAACTAACATGGTAATCTCATACAGTGATTAAATAGTTTTGTCCAGTGTTTGATATAATTCTTAATTAATTTTCTATTATTTTACAATACTTGTTATAAAACATTTATTTAAATATTGTGCTTAAATTTATGACAATTCTCTAACACTTAATTGTATAAAATATTATATTTATGTATTTAATAAAAAAATTTAGTCCTTTTTATACCAAACAAACTATTAAATAATAACATTTATTTTGTATTTGTAAAAAGTTTTAAATTATACAATAAAAAAATTTATCAAACAAATAACGATATTATTTAAGCTTAATATTGTATGACATACTGTATATGCAATAACATGTCTCTATATTTATGAACAAAACTCTTTGTATATACAAGTTATGTAACGTCACGTGATATCAGGCATAACAACATATTTCTTGGAATTTGTTTATATAAAGGGTTTGTCAAATATTAATGGATTAATGTGTCTAATAAACTGACCAGGGTCTGAGCAATATCTGTTTGACCATGGAAAATTGCGGTAAATCACCATCAGTGGCTGACAATGATCACGATCATTTTGACAGTTTTATCAAACAACATGAATGCGTTATGAATTATGTGCTCGATGTGTTGGCGATATATGGTAATTATTTTATTTATTTAATTAACAATGATTATTGTTGTAATGTAAATACTATTTTCATATTAATGATCATGTAACATAATTCATGTTTATATTTAGTTCCCAAAGCGATCACAATATTTTTGACTTATGGCGTACAATTGATGCTGATTATACTGGGTAAAATAAATGAGAATTATTAACGTTATAATAATTATTATACATGGTTTAATTTACTGTAATATAATGATTAGGATCAATTTATGTGACTAACTGTCGCTCCGCACCCGAACTACCTATTGTGACAATAATAATGGGCACTTTGTATGCCGTGTGTTGGACAGTCTATCACAACACTGAACCTGGTAAATTGGCCCAGAAGTTTAAAATTGCATGCTACACGATTGCCATATGTGTGTTTATAATCTGTGAGTATAATATTTATTTACGAATACATATTGATCCTGCTAAATTTTGTTAATATATTTATAGTATTGGCCGCATTATCCCGGGCTATATATTACAACCCCCAGTATTACCCATACTGTTCGGGTGCGTTAATCACACCGGTGTCCACGTTTGTCGTTGTTGTTTTAACCCTGGTGATTAAATTGAAGGTGATTGATCCGGTGGCTAAAGTGCTAAAATCAAGGAAAACCTACATTGATGTTTTTAAATAAGTTTACTAATTATATTTTTATTTCTATTTCATAAATATTTTTGTTATTTACAATTATATTTTATACTTGAGAAATATTAACTGTAGATCTTATAATAGCAATATGCATTTAATTGTAATCTCGAAAAGTGTTAAGGTGATTAATTAAATTTATTATGAATTTACTACACAGCAAAATAATGAGCTTAATTGCAATGCTTTTTATTCATAAATATACAATAAACTTTATCATTTTAATTACCATTTTCAATTATTAACCGTTTTTCAATGCTATACGCCGTATACGCGGAATCACTAAAATGGCCATATCTCGCGAGTTTATGGCTATCAGCCCGATATATTAAATTTATATTTTTTATTTGGCTTAAACTACATGATTAGTGGCTTTTTATTAAGATATCGGTCGACAAGCTCGTACCGTTCGCTCGTAAGTATTATTTGATTTTAAAAAAATAGTAAATAAATAACACAAGATATTTTATATTAATTTATAAATAAATAAATAAAAATAAAAATAAAAATAACTGCGTATAAAATGTATAAATTAATAAAAGACACCTATGTAAGTTTTACGTGACATCAGCTCTTTTGCAACAGGATCAAATATCTTCATTTTCACCAAAGTTGCTGTAACACCAAGGACAAATATTGACGCTATTGCTATTATGGTCGGCGAACAACGATTATAACAGTGGTCACCACCTCGGAAAATAGCCTGATACAAAGCAAATACCACTTTGTAAACAAATAAAGGAAATTAATTAAAATGAAAAATATTACTGTTAATTGGCAACAAAAATACATACAGACAATAAATGCACATGCTGCGGCGGTGTAACATACAGATTTAACAATCTTGGCCAATTTACCACTTTCAGTTTTGCCGCTAATGAGCCAACACACGGCGTATAGAGTGCCCATAATTATGGTCATTATTGACAGTTCAGGTGTTCTTTCACAGCCCTTTACTAAGAGTAACCCTAATCATTGTTTTAAAAAAACTGTACATTGCACAAATAATTATACTGTAACAATATTATTTTAATAAAACTAATCTAATTTAAGTGCCAGCTAATTATTTACCCAATATAATCATTGACAATTGTACGCCATAGGTCAGCAAGAATCGTATCAGTTTGGGTACTAAAATTAGCGTGATTAGTTATATTTTTAAATATTGTTCATGATTAGTATTATGTTTTTATTTTTAAGAGCTTACCATAGATTGCCAATTTATCTAGGGTATTATCCGACAGGTATCGGCTTTGTTGTTTGTCAAGGCTATTGGATCTATCAAGATCCACTGCGGTGACCAAGGGCGTAAATTTAGCATTATTCCCGGCGCCCAGATTGATATTGCTGAGCCCCTGTCCGCTAAATCCCAGTGATTGTGGCTTATCATTGTCCCAGTGATCAGACATTTTTACCTTATTTGTTTTATTTGTTTTGTTTTATTTCATATGAGTTATGTAATAGTAGGTATAAATAGGCACGTTATTTGTTTGAATTTATAAATTAAATTTTTATTATGCCTTTTATAATAATAGATACAATACTGAATTGAATAGTTAAAATTTAGTATAAATGGGACAAGTTTGTTTTTCTCAATACATTTATAAGGTTTTCAATCAATATAAGCTAAATTATAAGAATAAAGAGTTGATTTTATACTAGTTTAATAATTTTATTTTTTTGTGCACAAAACAGATAAAAATATTATATTAATTAAAATCTAATTAAATGTTAGCTTAATTGAATTGAATAATTATTATATTTATATAATATAACAATACTTTCTACAGTTTATTATAGCTAGAAAAATAGCACAAATATTGTTTTTAAAATGCAGATATTAATAAAACACCCCGGTGTAAGTTTTGCGTGACATTAGCACTTTTGACACAGGGTCAAATACCTTCAATTTAACCACAATCAATGCAGAGCCAAAGACAAATATTGACGCTGGTGCTATTATGCCGGGTGAGCATGAATGCTCTCTGTATGAATAGTAACCACTTGCAAAAAATGCCCGAAACAATGCAACTGTCACTATAAGTTAAGTGAAATTAATTTACATGATAATTATTAATATGCAAAAACAATACTGTAGTACATACACACAACAAATGCACATGCTGAGACCGTGTAGCATACTGATTTGACAATCTTGGGCAGTCTACCAGTTTCAGTATTGCCGCGTACGACCCAACACACGGCGTATAGGCTGCCCATAATTATGGTCATTACTGACAGTCCAGGGGCCTTATTACAGTCACTCACGTACACCGACCCTAGTCATTTTGATAATAAATAAATATTTGTATATACAGTACAAATATGTATAAATATGTATATATTATTAATATTATATATTATTTTATTATTATTCTATTTATGAAAATTAATTTGGGTTTAAAAGTTGACAAATTTACCCATGATAATCATCATCAACATTACACCATAGGTCAGCGCGAATCTTATCAGTTTGGGTACTGAAATTAGCATTTTTAATTAAATTAATTAAATAATGTTCATAATTATTATAATGTTTATGTTCACTTACTATTGATGGCCAATTTATCCAGGGTATTATCCGAAAAGTGTGGATAATACATACCGCACCAGTAGCCACATTGTTGTTGATCAATGCTGTTGGATCTATCAATATCCACTGCGGTGACCAAGGGCATAAACTTTGCACTGTTTTCAGCGCCCAGGCTGATATTGCTGAGGCCCTGTCCGCTAAATCCTAATGTTAATGGCTTTGTATCCGACATTTTTACCCTTTTTGTTTGATTCCCAGTTAATTACTGACAAAACTCTTTGTGCTGTTTTCAAATAGCCTTTATTAGAAATACATTATAGTTTGACAATACTTTATACTGTATTATTGTATTGTATTTTTTAGACAAATGTACATTTAACGATTTTATTACATGTATATACTGTTGTCAAGTGAACAAATAGGCAAAAGTTGGCTCATTATTATTATTTGTTGACAACTCTTACCATGTATTCAACAACAAAATTAAGTGTTTTGTTATTTTACTTTTACACTCAATAATATGTACAAAATATTTTGTTTAGCACATAAAGATCAATAAAACTTATTATGTGCTTTTATTTCTATGGTAATTGCATTTATGGTGAATTGATTTATTCAATAATACATTTAAGTACTTTCAACTTAAACTATGTAAATTAATTATAAATTACATGTGTATTAAATAATGTGTAATAAATTATGTTTATAATTTGAAAAATTAATACTAAATTAATTATGCTTAAACAAAGAACTTAAAGTATATTGAAAAACTATTATGATCATTTTAATAATTACAAGTATTAAAACATCATTATATACTAATTGAATAATAATTACATAGTTTATCAGCGCTTAAATAATTTTGCAACGAGCGTGATAATTATGAACTTTGCAATAATAGCAAACACGATTACAATCATGCTAGAAATGGTCAAAAATAGACCAGGATGACAGTAAAGTTCCCCTGGTTGTGTTGTTGGATTTGACCAACCATGCGAGTTGTATTGTTCAAAAGTAACACCGTAGGTTGTGCGAATGACCAGGGTGGCAACTTAATTAACGTAATTAAATAAACAAACAACACAATTAATGTAAGTTATATCCAATAAAAATAGTAATTGAAAAAAGCAAAGTAAGATTACTAACGGCCAATAAATGCGGATAAAATGACCAAGTACCAAATCCACTTAATAATTAAATACAACTCGGTTTTATTATCACCGCTGTATAAATGGCAACAAAATGCATACAACACTCCGATTATAATTGCCATGATCGGAATTGCTGGATTAATCGGGCATTCATGCAAATAAACTGACCCTGATATTAAAATGTTTGAAATTTATTATTAATAATTAAATATAAATAGATTACATTTATTTTTGTAATTTACCTAAAGTGACCAGGGTAATTTGAATTCCAGATGTAAGGCATGTTGATACAATTAATGTAACTTGATATTAAAAAACAATTATTCACATTTAGTAGAATAATATTGTTAATTATTTACACTTAAACCAGTGTAAAAAATCTTACCAGTGATACGCATTGTATCAAGCAGATATTGTATGCGAGACAAATTGATTGTGCCATGATTATTTTGCAGAATATTGCTATTGCTGTCCGTATAATCTGATTCAGATGCCATACCAATGGCAAAACATTGTTTATTTAATCTAGGCAATGTGACCATATCGACCTTCATTGTATAATTNTTTGAATGCCGGCAAACATTGTATTACTGTTTGGATGATAAGTGAAGCACTTGTTGTCCATAAGACTCCCTCTCCTCCCGACTCCACAGCCGGCAGTCGTTATATTCTCGTAGCTCTGAATTCTCGCGTGATTTCCATTACAGCCAACAATACATAGACTTAACACTAAAATTAATGAATAATTTAATTCAATTCTTTACTCAATCGTTGAAAATATTTTCTTACGGATAAAAATTGCTGAAATGATAATATATAATAAGCACATCTTAATTTATAATTATTTTATTTTATAAGTGTATTATAATAGTTGTTTTTATAAAATTTATAATTTTGATTATAATAAAAGTATTAAACAGTAAGAAACTGTTATTACGTTTCAACAATATTGTAAGTTTAATAAAGTATATATTTTCATATTAAATAAATTAATATTCTATTACAAAATTGTGATCATATGAAGAATGAAATTTTATTGCAAAAATAATAATCTCTCTCTCTCTCTCTCTCTCTCTCATGTAAGTTTAATAAAGTATATATTTTCATATTAAATAAATTAATATTCTATTACAAAATTGTGATCATATGAAGAATGAAATTTTATTGCAAAAATAATAATCTCTCTCTCTCTCTCTCTCTCTCTCTCTCTCTCTCTCGGGTAAAGTAGTTAAATGAAATTGAATTTCATTAAACAACTAGAAATGGTACATTTTGTAAAGTAACTTTGCATAAATCTATTTGTGATAAAAGTATATTATACGTGTAAAGTATAAATGACATATTTCTTAGAATTTATATTTCAACTATTTTTGAAAGAATTAACTTTCATTTTAAATCATAAATTGATTAATTGTAACCCTTTTTCCTACACAAACACTGCCGACAACTATACACATACTGTACACACATTACCCAAAATAGCCAAATGTGGTCCAAAGTGACCCAATTGTCACCCTATTTAAGGCCCACTCTATACCACACATTGATGCAGTCAATACAAAAATGTAATTCCCATCAAAATACACACTATTTGTGTGTTCGCACTATTTGTGCATAAATTTAAATAAAGTTTCATTTTTTAAACAAAAGTTTAAATCAAATTAATTAAAGTTATTGTGAAAATCATTATAACTTTAGATACGTTTTACAATTATAGAATGATATATCTAAAAATATAAGAATTGTAACTAATTATAATCAATTTGTTAAGCAAATTAATCTTTTATAAATAATTAAACAAAATGAACTATTTTAATATTAACTAAAATTAAATTAATAAATTATTATGATTGTTACAAAATTATTTTGTTTAATAAAATGCTCGAATTATATTTGCTTTGTGTCTATTTATAAATTATAATGTTCTAACAAGTAAGTATTTAAAAATACCCTTATTATAATAATAATAGCATTGTTTTGGTCATTACCCTGATAAAGTTACTGACATAATGTCAGTGACTTTGTAAATGTTAAATTTGTTTTATAGTAATTTGTTTTAGTTGTCAAAACAAACGCACACTATATATAAGGCAAACACTATGTAATATATCTTATTATTTAAACATTTGTCATTTAAAATAACACAAAAAAATAATTAAAACTCTTTGTCTATGAATATTATAAATAGGTAATTAAGTTTTAATATAGTTATAAGAAAGTTAAACTACAACTAGATTAAACATTTTAAATTATACAATGAAGGTCGATATGGTCACATTGCCTAGATTAAATAAACAATGTTTTGCCATTGGTATGGCATCTGAATCAGATTATACGGACAGCAATAGCAATATTCTGCAAAATAATCATGGCACAATCAATTTGTCTCGCATACAATATCTGCTTGATACAATGCGTATCACTGGTAAGATTTTTTACACTGGTTTAAGTGTAAATAATTAACAATATTATTCTACTAAATGTGCATAATTGTTTTTTAATATCAAGTTACATTAATTGTATCAACATGCCTTACATCTGGAATTCAAATTACCCTGGTCACTTTAGGTAAATTACAAAAATAAATGTAATCTATTTATATTTAATTATTAATAATAAATTTCAAACATTTTAATATCAGGGTCAGTTTATTTGCATGAATGCCCGATTAATCCAGCAATTCCGATCATGGCAATTATAATCGGAGTGTTGTATGCATTTTGTTGCCATTTATACAGCGGTGATAATAAAACCGAGTTGTATTTAATTATTAAGTGGATTTGGTACTTGGTCATTTTATCCGCATTTATTGGCCGTTAGTAATCTTACTTTGCTTTTTTCAATTACTATTTTTATTGGATATAACTTACATTAATTGTGTTGTTTGTTTATTTAATTACGTTAATTAAGTTGCCACCCTGGTCATTCGCACAACCTACGGTGTTACTTTTGAACAATACAACTCGCATGGTTGGTCAAATCCAACAACACAACCAGGGGAACTTTACTGTCATCCTGGTCTATTTTTGACCATTTCTAGCATGATTGTAATCGTGTTTGCTATTATTGCAAAGTTCATAATTATCACGCTCGTTGCAAAATTATTTAAGCGCTGATAAACTATGTAATTATTATTCAATTAGTATATAATGATGTTTTAATACTTGTAATTATTAAAATGATCATAATAGTTTTTCAATATACTTTAAGTTCTTTGTTTAAGCATAATTAATTTAGTATTAATTTTTCAAATTATAAACATAATTTATTACACATTATTTAATACACATGTAATTTATAATTAATTTACATAGTTTAAGTTGAAAGTACTTAAATGTATTATTGAATAAATCAATTCACCATAAATGCAATTACCATAGAAATAAAAGCACATAATAAGTTTTATTGATCTTTATGTGCTAAACAAAATATTTTGTACATATTATTGAGTGTAAAAGTAAAATAACAAAACACTTAATTGTGTTGTTGAAATACATGGTAAGAGTTGTCAACAAATAATAATGAGCCAACTTTTGCCTATTTGTTCACTTTACAACAGTATATACATGTAATAAAATCGTTAAATGTACATTTGTCTAAAAAATAAAGATACAATAATACAGTATAAAGTATTGTCAAACTATAATGTATTTCTAATAAAGGCTATTTGAAAACAGCACAAAGAGTTTTGTCAGTAATTAACTGGGAATCAAACAAAGAGGGTAAAAATGTCGGATACAAAGCCATTAACATTAGGATTTAGCGGCCATCAATAGTAAGTGAACATAAACATTATAATAATTATGAACATTATTTAATTAATTTAATTAAAAATGCTAATTTCAGTACCCAAACTGATAAGATTCGCGCTGACCTATGGCGTAATGTTGATGATGATTATATTGGATAAATTTGTCAATTTTGAAACCCAATTTAATTTTCATTAATAGATCAACACCAAAAATAATGTACAGTACATACTTGTATATAAAAATATCTGTTTATTTTGTCAAAATGAATAGGGTCAGTCTTTGTAAGTGACTGTAATAGCGCCCCTGAACTGTCAGTAATGACCATAATTATGGACACTTCATACGCTGTGTGTTGGGTCATACGAAGCAATACTGAAATTGGTAAACTGCCCAAGATTGTCAAATCAGTATGCTACACAATATCAGCATGTGCATTTGCGGTGTGTATGTAGTGTTTTTGCATATTAATAATTATCATGTTAATTGATTTCATTTAACTTATAGTGACAGTTGCCTTGTTTCGGGTATTTTTCGCAAGTGGTTACTATTCATACAGAAACCATTCATGCTCACCCGGCATAAAAGCACCAGCGTCAATATTTGTCTTTGGCGCTACATTCATTGTGGTTAAATTGAAGGTATTTGACCCTGTGTCAAAAGCGCTAAAGTCACGTAAAACATACACCGGCGTGTTTTATTAATATCTGCATTTTCAACACCATATTTGTGCTGTTTTAGATTTAATAAACCGTAAAAAGTTTTGTTATATTATATAATTATAATAATTATTCAATTATTAAATTTAATTCAATAAATATTTAATTAAATTTAAATTAATATAAAATTTTTATCTGTTTTATGAAAAAATAAAATTATTAAAACTAGCGTAAAATCCAATGCATAAAGTAAAAATGAGGCCGGTCCTCCCTCGGGCAAGGCGTTTGGTCATCCTAATGATAACAATCTATTTCTTATATATTGTCGCTGTATTTAAATTAGATTATTTTAATTTGTCAGTTTATTTTATGGGTGTATTATAAGTTGTAGGAATGAGTGTATTTATTTAAATTTAATTAAATAATATTTACAAAACAGGTTTGGTTTTGTTAATAGAATATTTCATTTAATTATTTTATTATTAGTATTATTCTTATAGCGTGATAGCAATATTTATAATTAATTTACCATATTGACATTTATTTGGCCATAATAGTTATTTTTATTAAATAGTACAGATGACAAGTTATTTTAAATTTTCTTACAAGTTACTTAGATATACACTTGATTTTATATATTATTACAGGAGATTATACAATAGTTTACTAAAAGTATGGATTTTCAACAGATTTATCAAGTTATAACTGTATTGAAATGCAATCTTGTTAATATATTTCACAATATAATTGAATTATTTGTTATAATAAAACTAATAATAATAAAATTAATTCAATATATGCATATAATTTTAATAAATAATATTGCTATTGTATCATTTATTAAACTAATAGCAAAATTATTAATCTTATGTGTGTTATCCTATGGGGCGATAGAATTAACAATAAATTATTTCAGTTATCCCAACGTCTATAGCGTTAGCGTAAAGCCGAGCAATGAATTGCTTTTACCAGAGATTACTATCTGTACGGAAAGGGATGTGTTTTTTGATAAAACAAGGATTAATAATGAATTCGGTTTAAGCTATGAATACAAGAATTGGAAACAAATAGCAAAAATAATGGCAAAATATATTGAAAAGAAAATATGTAAAAAGGCATATATCAATTATATAAATAACATTTATCCTTATGTTTGCAAAAAGCCGTCATTTGTTGAAAACTTTTATTTAAATCATTTTTATGATAAATATTTGCCGCAAATGTTTGCCAACTATTCTTACACTGATTTATTCAATCGATTCTCAATTAATGGCAACGAATTGATTAATTGTTCGGCAAAAGTGGGCATAAAATACAACAATGAGTACAGAGTGTCCCATAAATGTGTTTCCAATGACAACAATACTGTTTTACACAGTATTTATGGTACGAAAGACTTTGGCGTTTGTTTTAAATATTTTCCTTCCAAAGGAAATACTAATCACTTTTCTCTCATTGACGACCAATTCGTTGAGTTTCGCATATCTTTTGAAAAACAACAACAATTACTTTTAAGTGACACTTATTTGGATATAAATCATTCAAATAAATATTTTAGTAAAACAAAAACTGATTTTATACATAATAAGCAATTTATGGAACACTTTGTATTATATGTATTTGTGGATCAAATGTCTAATGAATTTATTAGACCAAAAGTAACCGCACTTAAGATACCGAGTGTTGGCATTAATGCGAGGATTAATATATACAACACTTATGTGAACCGATTGTCCACACCTTATATGCAATACTGTCGACAAAATACAGGTAACATTATTTGAAAATTATTAAATAATAAAGTAATGTAAAGTAAAATATCTCTTTATTGGAATCATTATCAACAATAGCTGGTCTTCCAAATAATCCAGTTACATTCAGTGTTTTTATATACAATACATATTTGATTTATTTCAAACTTTTCATTACATATACATATCATATAACATATAGATCTATATTTTACTGTTTGTGTTAAGTGCTGTTGGTGTAAGCGTGTTGTCTGTATGGTATGTGATGTCATTGTCTTATCGTTGGAATCTTATTAAAGGGTGAATTATCAATTCATTAAATTTATATTTAATAAAACAATCAAATATTTACTATAGATAATTTAATATAAACAAACTTACTTAT